AACCACTGAGCTAAATCCCCGGCCCTAGTTGTAGTTTTTTGAGGACTTTCCACACTGATTTCTACAGTGATTGCACCAGTCTACACTCCCACCAACAGGGGAGAAAGGTTCCTTTTTCCCCACAGCCCCACCAGCATTTGCTATTGGTTCATTTCTTGATAACAGGCGTTCTTTCTGGAGTAAGATGGACTCTTAGCATTGTTTTAATTTGCATCTCTCGAATGATCAGTGATGTTAGACATTTTTTCATAAATGTATTTGGTGTTTCTGCTTCTTCATCTGAGAAGTTTCTATTCATTTCAGATGCCCATTTTTGGATTGGGTCTTTAAATTTGGGCAGTCTGATTTTTTTGAGTTCTTTTTTTTTTTTTCTCTCCAGTACTGGGGTTCAAACTGACGACCTTGCACTTGCAAGGCAGACGCGGTGCCACTTAGTTCTTTAAATCCCTGGCCCTTGAGTTCTTTATATATTCTAGATAGTAGCCCTTTGTCTGAGGAACAGCTGGTAAAAATTTTTTCCCACACTGTGGGTTGTCTTTTCACTCTGTTGATTGTTTATTTTGTTGTTCAAAAGCTTTTACATAAGATGAGATCCCAATTTGATTCTTTGTGATAGTTCTGTGCGATTGTCCATAAAGTCTCTGACTGTACCAGTATCTTCAGGAGTTATACCTATTCTGTCTTCCATCAGATTTAGTGTTTCTGTTTAAACATTTAGATCTTTGATCTACTTCGATTTTAGTTTAGTGAATGGTGAAAGATATGGGTCTGGTTTTAATCTTTGGCAAGTGGAAAGCCATTTTTTCCAGCACCATTTATTAAAGAGGCTATCTTTCTTCCAGTGAAGACGTTTGGCTCCTTTGTCAAAGATAAGGTGGCTGGGTATGCCTGAAGTTGTTTCTGTATTTTCTAATCTGTTCCATTGATCCTCCAGTCTGGTTTTTGTTTTGTTTTGTTTTGCCAGTACCATGCTGTTTTTATCACAGTAGCTTTGTAGTATAATTTCAAGTTGGGGATTTTGAGCCTCCTGCCTTGCCTTTGTTGCCTAGAAATGGCTTTGCTATTCTAGATCTCTTCTCATTCCAAATGAATATGAGGATTGTTTTCTCTACTTTTGTGAGATATGCTGTTAGAATTTTGATTGAGATTGCATTAAATCTGTATAACAGTTTTGGAAGTATGGCTATTTTCACTGTATTGGCTCTTCCTACCCAAGAATAGGGGATATCTTTCCATTTTATGATATCTTCTTCGATCTCTTTTTTCAGAGTACTGTGCTTTTCAATTAGAGGTCTTTTACTTCCTTTGTTAGATTGATTCCTAGGTATTTCATCATTTTGGATGCTATTGTAAAAGGTGTTGTTTCCCTAATTTCTCTCTCAGTGAGTTTGTTATTCATATACAGGAAGGCTATTGATTTTTGAGTATTGACTTTATATCCAGGTATGCTACTGAATTTGGTTAGTAAGTCTAGAAGTCTTGGTGGAGTTTTTGAGGTCTTCTATGTAGAGTATCCTGTCATTTGCAGATAATGATAATTTAATTTCTTCCTTTCCTATCCTAATTCCTTTTATTTCTTTCTCTTGTCTAATTGCTGTGGCTAATATTTCTAGAACCATATTGAATGAGAGTGGTGACAGTGGACATCCTTGTCTTGTTCCTGATTTTAAAGTGAAAGCTTTCATTTTTTGTCCATTTAGTATGATGTTGGCTGTTGGTTTGTCATAGGTGGCTTTTATCAGATTGAGATAGAGACCATATATTCCAATTTTCTGGGTTTTTATTATGAATTGGTGTTGGGCTTTATCAAATACTTCTTCTGTGTCTATTGAGATGATCACATGGTTTTTGTCCTTGGTTCTGTTAATATGGTTTAGTACATTTATTGATTTGGTTATGTTAAACCATCCCTGCATCCCTGGGGTGAATCCTATTTGGTCATGGATTATAATCTTGATGATTTGCTGCATTCCATTTCCCAGTATCTTACTGAGGATTTTTGTGTCTATGTTCATTAGGGAGATTGGCCTATAGTTTTCTTTTTTGGTTGGATCCTTCTCTGATTTTGGTTTCAAGGTAAGCTTGCTTCCAGGAATGAATTTTGGTATTGCTTCCCTTTCAATTTCATTATAGAATTTGAGAAGTAGTGGCATCAGGTCTTCTCTAAATTTCTTGTAGAATTCAGCTGTGAATTTGTCATGGCCTGGGCTTTTCTTTGTTTTGAGTTTTTAATTACATTTTCAATTTCATTGACTGATACTAGTTTATTTAGAATTTTAAATCTTGATTCAGCTTTGGTAATTCATATACATCTAGGAATCTGTCCATTTCTTCTGTGTTTTCCATCTTCTTACAATACAGGTTCTCAAAGCAGGTATTAATGATCCTTTGGATTTCTGCAGGATCTGTTTATTTCACCCTTTTTATTCCTAATTGCATAGATTTGAATCTTCTCTTTCCTTTTTTTGGACAAAGTTGTCTAAGGGTTTGTCAATTTCATTTAATCTTTCAAAGAACCAACTCTTCAATTCATTGATTCTTTGTATCATTTTCTTAGTCTCCATGCATGAATTTCTACTCTGACCTTTATAATTTCCCCCCTTGTATGAGCTTTGGGGTTGACCTGTTTTTGTTTTTCTAGAAGGTAGAGGTTCAAATGAGGTTGTTTTTTTGAGCTTGCTCTGTTTTTCTGATATGGGAATTCACCGCTATAAATTTCCCTCCTAGAATTGCTTTCATTGTGTTTCATAAGTTCTGGTAGGTTGTATTGGCATTATTGTTTAGTTGTAGTCCTCATTATCTCTTTCTAGAATGTCCTTCAAAACATTTTGGAGTGGTGGCTTGGTGGCCATGAATTTTTTTCAAGTGTTCTTTTTCGTGAAAGTATCTTATTTGTTCATCAATTTTGAAAGATAATTTTGTGGGATATATAAATCTGGGTTAGAGGTTGTTTTCTTTTAGGGCTTAAAATACTTCAAGCTTTCCTTGAGGGTTTGTGTTGAGAAGTCTGCTGTGATTCTGATGGGCTTTCCTTTATAAATGATTTTTTTTCTCTGACAACTTTTAATATTCTATTCTTGTGTTGAATTTCTGGAATCTTGACTATTGTGTAGCTTGGTGTAGTTTTTTTTTAATAGGTAACTGGAGTTGTATATGCCTCACTTATCTGTATGTCAAATTATTTTTCCCTGCTTGGGAAGTTTTCTGCCATTATGTCTGTGAACATGTTTTTTATGTCATTTGATCTATCTCCTGCTTTTTCATCAACTCTGATCAATCTCTTGTTATTCTTCTTTGCATCATCTAGCAGCTGTTGGGTTGATTTTTTTGTGGTCCCTTGCTATTTTTAAGAAATCTTTCTCTTCATGTTCACTGACCACAGTCCTGTTTTCTATATCAGATATTCTGTCCTCACATTGGCTCATTCGACTGTATACTTTTAGTGGAATTTTTAATCTCCTCAATATCTGTTTGAATCTGTTTCATGGATTCCATTTCTTTCCTTTGTTGGCCATTCATGGTTTCCATCATTTTCCTAAGCCCCTGTATTTTTTTATCTGTATCTGCTCTAGAGTCACTATGTCTTTCACTCTGGTCACCATCTCTGTAGTTATCTGAGAAACTATTTCTGCTTTGATTTTTTTTTTTTCCTAGAGCCTCATTCATTTGCTTTGTTACTTCTGCTGTTACTACTTCAGAGTCCAGGTGGGTGGGTTTTGAGTTGTTCCACTTTATTGCCGCCTGGGTTTGCCTTTAGTGAGCTGGAAGTTTGGGGTTTCATCTTGCTTAAGTGTCTTCTCATTTTATTTATATACATATATTTTTAATTTGTTTATTTGTTTATTTTTAGTTTAATTCCTGGATTGATCCTTGTAAATTACTTATGGCAAGTAGCTTTTTCACTAGTATTTAGAACCGTTAGGAAATGATTATTTGTCTTTCAGGTATAACTGGCTTTTGGGTTTTGAGTGTGCTGCAAGAGCCTACTTCTTCAATTTATTAGGGATGAGCGATGGCTGCCTGTTTGGCCTAGTTCCTGGTTATTTGGCACTGGCCTACAGTATTGTGTATGACTCTTATGCAATCTCAGTCTTAGCAAACCAGGAAGAACAACCGATTAGAACAACTATGTCACCTTGGCTAAAGTAGTAAAATCAGCAACAGTGATAGCATCAAGTACAGCCTGGAAAATGACAAACAGGCACTGCAGTCCATTGTGTTCACTTCTCCTTTCCACTGATGCGTTTCTCGGTGGAGATCTCTGAGGTTACCAGTAGTCACAGTGTGTCTGTAAATTTGAGTTGCTCTTCCCATGCAGTGAGTCAGAGTTCAGGGAGAATGCACTGCTTGTCATTTCCTTCTTCTTTGTTGAAGTCTCTCCCTTTGTTCTCCTTGTGGGCTTCAGTTCTCACTTTAGATCCTTACTAGGTCCTGGGGACCCACTTCCCTCCTTCTTTTCCTCACATTGCTTATTCTAGTATCTGGAGAGCAACTCTCAGAGAGGCCATTTCTGTGCTGTTCACCACTCCACCATCTCCCCCAAAGTCTATTTAATTTTATTCAGACAGAGTCTCACTAAGTTGCTCAGGCCGGCCAGAAACTTGCAGTTCTCTTGCCTCAGCCTCCTGATACCTGCACCACTCTGCCTGGCAAAATCTTGCTTCTTGTGGTATGAAGATCTATGAGAACTTCTTAACCTTTAGAACATTCTGAGTATGGAGGCAAGCCTATGTATTAAAACTTAGTTTGCAGCCAGCGCACATGCTTGGCACATAGTCCTTGAATGAAGTGGGACCTTTACTAGCTTCAGATTCTAAGATCCCTAGTAAAGAAGAGCATAAGGGAAAAAGGACAAGGATGCATATTTTAGTTCCACTCTTCCCAATCCCAATGAAAAGATTCTGTATTATTTTCTGTCAGTGTTAATGTATGACAGTAGTTTCTACTTTTGTCTTGTGATACCTGATAATTTCAAATGTTTACTTACATGTATATTTTAGGTGCCCTAATGTGAATCTGCAAAGGCTGCCAGAACAGTGGTTATGGAATGTTTTGGAGGAAGTTAAATGCAGTGATCCTTCATCCAAACTCTGTGCTACAAGGCGCAGTGCTGGGATCCCTTTCTACATACAGGTACTTACCTGGAAGACTATGGTTGGTTGTCTTTTGATAGTGTCTTCTAACCTCCTTTACATATGAGTAAGTCACATAAGGGCCATCTCTGTCTTTAATACTACACATAGGATCTGTGGCTTTATTTTAATGTGTGGACAGTGTGACCTGTGACAGATCTGTTCTTGAAAGAAACCCTTTAAGACGCCAGTCTTATAATGTAAATAGAGAGAGGTATAGATTTCCGCCTGGGTATTTAAGTAGGTGGACATCACTGTAGCACACTGATCATTTCCAGGAAGTAAACATGCCAATCTTCCCTCTGCCCCCCACCCCAAATCACAAAAATAATAATCTTCCTTTCATTTCAAGATCCTCAGGAGTCTCCAGGGTTAAATTTCTTTTCAGTCCTTCTGTAAAATTACCATAATCTTAGTAGCTAACATTTATTAGTAATTTCACATATTACCTCATTTAATCCTTCCCCAAACCCGTAAGGTAGGCACTCTTATTATATTTATCATAGAGAAAGAAACTACTGTATATAGAGAAAGAAATTAGGGGTTAGAAAAGATATGTGACTTGCCAAAGGTCGAGAAGTAGTAATAATTGTGAATATTTCTGACCTGTCTGCATGGGAGAATATATGTGTGTGCATATGCATGTGTATATGATCCCTGCACACTGCTAAGAACATGCTAGATCCACTGTTTGCATCTTGCTTCACCTTAAAGATTGCTCCAGATCAGCACACCTAGATATTCCTATTGATTGGTGTTTCATTTCCATGGTGTAAAAAATGAGACTAACCTCTTCAGGATCCCAAAGAATAAAAACCAGTGTCCTCACAGTAGTAAATCAGACTCCATCCAGAATGGCCTTTAATATGGAGTAAGATAAAATCCAAGGATGGAGTAGCATGATGAAAACATTGAAAAGAAATGAAGTCTCTTTTTTTAACTACTCTTATATTGTATCCTTTTTTATTCCTCTGTCAAATTCCCCATCCCTTCATGATTTTTTGGTGACAGTGGGGCACCAGTCGCAGAAGTTGTAGACAGAGGTGGTTGGATTAGTTCTGCTGACTAAATTTTGGTGTCCTTTGGAAATGAACTCCTCCCTGATCTGACCCATTCTGGATCAGTGTAGTTCTTTCTGACCTTTATGCATCATTTATTTATACATCATTTATTGGAGTTTATACATCATTTGTTTGAGGTGACAGCATGGTCTTGCTGCATGTTTCTGCTGTGTTTCCTGCCTGTGCTTTTCAGCTAGTACTGTACTAGGTATTGGTTATAGTGATTAGCAAGTGAACTTTCTTACCCCAGCCTCACGTGGCAATAACTGCCCAGCTCTTTAAAGAAAAAAAGCAGTGGTGCCTAGAAGATATTTGGATCATTGAGTATAACTTTGCTATTTATTTCAGTTGAATAAAGTCTAAATTATATGAAAAGTCTTCTCAAAGAAAGTTCCATTTATTTCTGTCAGCATGACTTACCAGTAAATTTGTATTCTCATGTTAGCTGTGGATAAAACCTACCTGCTTAGTTTATAAACTTATGTGTAAACAGATATAACGTTTTTTGAAAGTATTTAAAAATAATAGGTATGTCTTGTGAACATAAATACACTGTGAGAAATTTCCTTTAAACCTGTTTTGTATGTGTATCTTATATTTTCTTCTTTTATGGTTTATAAATACTTCAGAAAACAATGAGCAACTTAAAACTTTCACTCTGGGATATGTAACTTTATGTGATACTCATGCTTTAGCTTTATATGGTACTCATGAAAAATAGATATCAAGGAAGGTAATCAGAGAATGCAGCTAAAGTGATTTTTCTTTAACAGCTTTGTTGAGATATAATTCATGTTTTTAAAGCATACAATTCAAGGATTTCTGGATTTGCAGAGTTGTACAACCATTAGCACAATCTAATTTTAGAATAGAACATCACTTGAAAAATCCATCAAGCCCATTAGTAGTCACTCCCCGTTCCTCTCCACCTCTGCTACTCCCAGTCCTAGGAAACCACTAATCTACCTTCTGGACATTTCGTGTAAATGGAGTCTTATAATATGTGATCATTTCTGTCTGGATTCTTTCACTTATTATTATGTTTTCAAGTTTATCCATATTGTTGCATCTGTCAGTACTGTGTTCTTTTTATTGCCTCAAGTGGGTTGATATTGCATACTTATGTTTATTAAGTATCAACATTGTTTGCCACAAAGTCAACAAGCAACTCCTTCAGACTTCAAAAACAGGATACTGTTGGAGTCGGTAATATTTTTTCTTGTCCTGTGGAGTTTTAAATACTATAGTTCAGTTAGTCTTCTAGGAGTAGACTCTCCTGTGAAATATTAATAATTCTTCTCTCTAAGAATCCTCAAAATAGTTAAGTAAAAAGAATTTTTTTGTTGGCTAAATTTATTAACAAAAGGGACTTGCTTAATTCTGTTAAAAACTTGCCACCAAATTTATAATCCTTAAGGAATAGTCAGTAAGAGCCATTGTACAGCCTCTTAGAATTGTATGATTAACAAGCAAATGATTGGGAATTGATTAAGCCACTCACCCAAAGCAACATAGTATATTGAACTTGCCTTGATAGCTTTGCTTTTATAAAGGAGATTTTGAATTAGAGGGTTTTAATTTTGAGAACTAATATAGGGAAACCACAAATAGGTACATGTCAAATAAAAGCCCATTAATTTTTGTGTAATTTTTCCATAGGCTTTGTTGGCATCTGAACCAAAGAAAGGCAAAATGGATTTGTTGAAAATAACAATGAAAGAGTTAATCCTTTTGGCTGGGCCTACAGATAACTCACAGAGCACAGTCCCCCAGGTAATAAGGGAAATATACAAAACTTGCTAGGAGGGCAATGGGTCTAAATCTTTGCTGTGTATTATTTTTAAAAAGTATCTGCTAAAGATACAGAACTCTTAAAGATAGGCAGATGTTTGAAGTCTTATATGAATACTATTTTGGATGTTTTGTTTTTTCTTCTGCATATATTTATCCCTGCAATCATAAATGATATTTAAATTTTTTGTATTATTTTTTGCTGTTGATTTTTTTTCAGTTATTGTTGTACATTTACCTGAATTGGTACAATATAACAAATGACTTGTCTGTGGATTCTTTTGAGTTTTCTTTATAGGTAATCATATCTTCAGTAGATAATGCTACTTTTGTTTTACCTCATACTTAATCTTTGTTTGTTTGTTTGTCTGTTTGAGACAGTGTCTCACTATGTAGCCCAGGCCAGCCTTGAGCTTGCAGGCTGTCCTCAGATTTATAGTCCTTCTGCCTCAGCCTCCCAAATGGTGGGATTACAGGAATGTGCTACCATGTTCAGCTCTTCATCTTTAAAAAATGTTTCTTATCTTACTCTGCTGCTGAAACCTGTAGTAGAGTTTTACATAGAAATAGAGATAGCAAGAATCCCATATCAATATAGTTTCTCAAAGAGAACACACTTGTATAGTCAACTAGAAATGGAGCATTTCTAGGACCTGAAAACCCACTTGTGCTCTCTTTCAGTCAGCACCCTTCCCCCAAGAGTACCACTGGGCTAACTTCTAACACTTTAGTTTTAGTTTTGTTATTTGAATTCTGTAAAGATAAAACCACACATAGCTGGGTGTGGAGGCTCATGCCTGTAATCCTAATGCTCTGGGAGGCTGAGGCAGAAGAATCTTAAGTTTGAGCCCAGCCTGGGCAATTTAGCAATTTAACAATATCCTGTCTCAAAATAAAAAGCAAAAAAGGACTGGGGATGTAGCTCAGTGTGAAGGCCTCAGTTTCAATCTCCAGTATTGTAAAAACAAGCAAACTCACAAACTACATGGTTTTTTTTTTTTGGTTTTTGGTACTGGGGATCGAACTCGGGTCCTTGCACTTGCGCAGCAGGCGGCAAAACCACTGAGCTAAATCCCTGGCCTCAAACTACATGTTTTAAACCATACTTTTGATACGGTCTTTTTTTGGTCAACATTACTTTTATGATGTCCATAAATATGGTAATTTATTCATTTTCTTTGCTAATAATCATGTACAGTTTATCCATTTTAGATGAACTTAATACTTTTAAATTTTAATTTATTAAGAATAGTACTTTTAGCCTGAGTTCGATCCCTGGTACCAAAAAAAAAAAAAAAAAAAAAAAGAATAGCACTTTTAAGGGCTGGGGATTTAGCTCAGTGGCACCGCACCTGCCTGGCAAGTGGAAGGTCATGAGTTCAATCCCCAGTACCGCCAAAAAAAAGTACTTCTAAGATAGTTCTCAGACATGCTTAATGGTGAACATACATTGTATGTTTCTGTTGAGGATACACTTAGGAATAATTATTGGATATAGTACATGTATATTCAGCTTTAGCAAATACTACATTTTCCCAAAGTAGTTGTTCAAACCTTGTTCTGATAGCTAGGTTATATTAGATTCATAAAATAAATCTAGGTGTCTTCTCTTTGCAGCTTATGTAAAATGGTGGTTATATACTCTCTGAATGTAGAATTCTTTTTTAAAATCACATGGGGATTTTTTTTTTATTGTTTTTTTTTATTGTTTTATTTTTTAAGTCTTTGGAAAGACTTTTAACTATTGGTTTTCTTTAATGATAGTATCTCTAGGCATTCAGTTTCTCCTTGAATTTGTGTTTTTTTGTTTTTTGTTTTTTTGGCACCAGGGATTGAACTCGAGACCTTGTGCTTGCGAGGCAGATGCTGGAACCACTGAGCTAAATCCCTGGCCCCCCCTTGAATTTGTTTTGATAAATAATGCATAATAGGCTATTTTTCATTTTATTTTAATTCTTCAAATTGATTCCTGTAGGATTGGTCACAGTATTACTTTTTGTTTTACCCTCTGCTGTATCTGCAGACATGTCTTCTTTCATAATAATGCTTATTTGTTCCTTCTCCCTTTCTTTTCTGTTAGTCTTGTCAGAGATTTTTTTGTTTCAGAGAATTGGCTTGTGCTTTTGTTAGTGCTCTTAGTTGTATCTTTGCTATTAAATTTTTTTTCTCTTTTATTTTCTTTCTCTTCTTTTTTGTTGTCTTACGTAGACACACAACTCATTTATTTTTAGTCATATTTTTGAGTAGAAGTAGTTCATGTATATATCTAAGTGTACATTTCTTTTTTAAGTTTCACTAAGGTACATCCTTATGTAGTAGCTTCATTATTGTTCAACTTTAAATATTAAAAGTTTTTTCTTTGATTAGAGTCCATTTAGAAAGTATTTTTAAAAACTATCCACTGTGATCAAAGAATATAAACTAGTAATTATTTGGTATTTGTAGAGACTTTATTTGTGGCTGGGTTTTAGATCATTTAAAAAAATAAATGTTGGGGCCGGGGATATAGCTTAGTGATGTTGTGCCTGCCTGGCAAGCACAAGGTCCTGAATTCAATTCCCAGTACTGGGAAATGAATGAATGAATGAATGAATGAATGTATGTATGTATATATGTTATACGTGTCCTTAAAAAGAATGTGCTTTTGTTTGTTAAGTGCAAGATTCTACATATGTTCATTGGATCAAACATTTTTATTACATTCTTTAAATCTTTTCTTTTAATTTTTAATTTTTTGTTTTATTAGTACATGTTTGGCAGTTCCTGCAGTTTATAGTCATCTTGGGGTTTGGTTACATGCACACACCATGGCCTGTTTCTTTTTTTTCTTAATCCCCTTATCCTCCCTCCATCCCATTTTTCAGTCTTATTAATTGTAATTATCAGGTATTGAACATGTCTTATTAAGGTGCTATATCATTTGTGGATTGTCCATTTCTTCCTATAATCTTATGCAAGGTTTAGAATTAGCATAGTTTCCAGACTACAGCTGATTTTGAGCTCTTGCTTCTAGGTCCACGCTCTAAACATCCTCCGAGCATTGTTTAGAGACACGCGTCTGGGAGAAAATGTCATTCCTTTCGTTGCTGATGGAGCCAAGGCTGCAATTCTGGGCTTTACCTCACCAGTCTGGGCAGTGAGTGCTTTTGCCATTTATTCTCATTGACTTAAATATGCTTTTGAGTAGGTTATAATTAACTGACCTTTCATAGGATGATTAAAAAGTACATACTGCATTTTATCAAGGAGTTTCTCTAAGGTATAAATAAATCCTTAGATCAAGCTGCGTTAAATTTTTTTTTTTTTGATACTGGGTATCAAACTCAAGACCTTGCGCTTGCTAGGCAGACACGGCACCACTGAGCTAAATCCCCGGCCCCAAGCTGCATTTTGATTCTTGATATTTGATGGTTCCATTTTATCTTATTTGCTAATTTTTTAGCCATAACTATTTTATTTTATTTTAGTGGTTGCTTTAGGTTATAGCATTTATCTTTAACTTACCACAGTCTGCCTTCAAGTGATATTATACTATGCCATTTAAACTTTAAGAACCTAATAAGAGTGTACTTCTATTTCTCTCCCACAATCTTTGTACTGTTATGCATTTTACTTTTTGTTGTTATAAACCCATGCCACATTGTTACTACTTTTGTTTAAACAGTTATCTTTTTTTTTTTTTTTTTGTTTCTGGTGGTGGTACTTCCACTGATTGAACCTGGGGCCTTCACACTGAGCTACATCCCCAGCCATTTTTTTATTTCCCATTTAGAGACAAGATCTTGCTAAGTTGCCCAAGGTAGGCTCAGATCCTCCTGCAGTCCTTTCTTAGCCTCCTAGAGTTCTGAGATTACAGACATGCACCACCACTGCTGGCTATAGCAGATTAACCATTTTTAAATATGTACAATTCACTATTACTAAGTATGCTCCCAATGTTCATCACTGTTAAATGCTTTCAGTACTTTATCATCATCCCAAACCGGTCTATACTAATTAATCACTAACTCTTCGTTTTCTCTCCCTTCATCCTTTGTAACCTTGGTTCTACTCCCTATTCCTATGAATTTGCCTGATGTAATATATAAGTGGAATCAGATGGTGCTTGTCCCTTTGTGTTTGGCTTATTTCACTTGCTACAATGTCTTTAAGGTTTGTTTATGTTGACTGGATAATATTCCATTATATGTATGCAACACATTTTTAAAAATCTATTCATATGTTGGTGGAATTCAGAGTGTTTTCACTTTTTGGTTCTTGTGAATTAAACAGCAGTGAAATATTGATGTACAAGTTATCTGAGTTCCTGTTTCTAGTTCATTTTGGTATATCATGTAGTAATTCCATATTTAGCTTTTTGAGGAACTCTCACACTATTTCCCACAATAGCAGCACCATTGCACACTCACATCAACAATGTACAATTCCCAGTTTTTATACATCTTCACCAACACCTGTTACTTTGTAGTTTTTAATGATAGCCCATCCTACTCAGATATGAAGTGGTATCCCATTCTGGTTTTGATTTGCATTTCCCCAATAATTAGTAGTATTGATCTGAAAGCAGAACAGCTCTTAGTATGTTAATGTGTCTTCCTTTTGGATGCTGTGTAATACAGATTCTGTGTATTTGTGTGTTGAATGAGTACTAAAAACGTTCTATCAAAAGTTGAAAAAAACATTAAAATGGAAGAAGTACTGAACCACATTTTCATTTGCAATATGATCACTATCCACAGACATTTGGATTCAGAGCTCTGAAGATAGTGAGCAGTACCTAGTACAGCCTCTGGATTTAAGAAAGTAAACTTTTATGTGTCTTTTCCTAATTTCTGGGAGAAACGTCATAGTTTTTTTGTTTTCCCATGTCATTGTTTCTTCTAGAATAAAGGAAAATAATGAACAGTTTGTAGTTGCTTGAAATATGGCTTAAAAAAATGCCTGGCAAAGGGAAAGGAAAAAAGAAGCAAGATTTTAAACTAGAATATTTACTCAAAAGGTAGTCTTTCCAATTAGTGAGCTGCATATGTCATTTTATACCTGTATGAGAAGCCTGTAATTGTGAGTCTATTTCAGTGGCAGCCAAAGGCGTAGACTCCTAGTGTGAAGAGGAATCCTCAAGATTGCCAACTCTTGCTTGGAAAATTGGGTGTCTTCCTGTAAGAGACACAGACTTCTGGAAGTCTGTCTAGAAGTATTACATAACTGCTCTTGAGGACATACTGTTTACCTTTTACATTTACAGAAAGCAGAGTATTACTTACGTTTTGTGGTCAGAGAGGTAGAAATGTGGCTTGAACATCATGAAAATTATAGATCATAAAACTGATTGCTGACAATATCAGTATTGTTTTCTTCAAGCTTAATTCCAGATAATACAGTAAATATTTTCTGTGAGAAGACTTTACCAGAGTGAAACCTGGTAATTTTTTTTCCTTTTTTTTTTCTTTTTGCAAAACCAAAAGTGTCATAAATCATAATGGCTGTCAATGAATATTTTCATGTACCAGGCATCATTTACATTACACTGATTCGTGTCAGTAGGTGCTAATATAACCGATATTTCATCAGTAAGGAGCAAAGCTCAAAGAGATGAAATAGCTTTGTCCAAGGACACAAACTACTATCTGACTCCAAAATTTGTGCAATTATAGAGGAGAGTTTTGGATGTTACAAGACTAGAAAAGAGGTATATTTCAGCTATCTTGGAGGGTGTCTTAGTTACTTTTCTCACTGCTGAGACCCAACACCCAAAGTTTAAGAAAGGAAGGTTTATTTAGCTCACAGTTTGTAGAGGTTTCAGTTCATTGTTGGCTGGCACCAAGGCAGAGTGGCATGGCAGAGGGAAACAGTTTATGGCAGGCAGAAGGCAGCAAAGTAGTGAAGAAACAAAGCAACAGCAGCAGGTGACAAGCAGAGACCACAGAAGCCCTCTTTGTGTCTCTTATATTTTATCACACCCCTAATCCTGGCATCACACTGTGAATCAATCCCAGCATCACATCCTTGATTCCCAGCATGTCACACCCTAGATCTAGCCACCTCTGAAAACCCCTACCAATGGCCTTGAACTCACTTTGTAGCCTAGGCTGGCCCCCAACATGTGGCATCCTGTCTTAGCCTCCTGAGTGCTGGGATTATAGGCATGTGCCACCAAACCTGGCAAAGATAAGGTTTTATTTAGTGATTCAAATCTAAAGTACTAAAGAATGAAAAGAAAAAGGAAAGTGGAAATGCATTACCAGTGGATCTTAACCTTGCAGAAAAACTGAACTGGTTTTCTTGTCACATAGCACATCTTTTATCCAGACCATGTGAAACTATCATCTCTTAGCCTAGTGCCATCTCCTGTCTCGTTAGTCAAAGTTTATCCTTTGGGGCATTAATACAACTTGTACAAGGTTGGTATACCTTAAGGAACCTCCAGAGAAGCCAGATCCCTTTTTTTTTTTTTCCAGATCCCATATTCTGATGTAGTGTCTCATCTGAGTCTGGGAGTGGTTAGGGGAGCCAGAGCCTCCATGAGTATAGATGGCCGGACCTGGGCCAAATATGCCTCCCACTGCTATTGACAAAACTGTTGAGAAACCCTTTATGAACACGTTTTACAGCGTGAGAGTGAGAGGAGCTGACTGATGTAGATAAAGTGTTGGGGGGGGTGTCTTGATTCTAAGAAGGAAGACCAATCAGGAAGGTATTACAACAGTTCTGCCAAAAGATGATGGTAGCCCAGAATAGAGAAATATTATTAAAGATGTTGAGAAGTGATTTTTTTTTGGTACCAGGGATCGAACTTGGGACCTTGCGCTTGCAAGGCAGGCGGCGGCACCATTGAACTAAATCCCCGGCCCACGAGAAGTCATGATTCTTGATATATATATTTTAGGCATGGAACTAGTTTAATTAAAAATTTAGGTAACAGAAAATAATGTATAGATGCACATATATAGAATCTGAGAATTTTCTGGACAGTTTTTGTTTAAAAATATCATTTGTTTCTTTTTATATTCAATGACTGTGAGACCCCTGCTCTTCTCCTGCAACTTAGCCTTTCCCTAAGCAACTACTCTCAGCCTTCCCAATGAAGCTTGTTGAAAAACTACACTGTGTATGCCACTTTAGGATCCTTCTAAGAACCACACATGGTTTATATTTCTATCTATTATATCTTGAGCTTGCTTCTCTCAGGCTGATACTAGTTCACAGTATATAGGAGGTTTCACAGAATGGTGGGAGAAAGACCCTTTCATATCTACCCAGGAGTACTGCCACATGTACTGTTGTGTGCCTCTGTTAGCACCAGTGACCCTAAGCCTTTTGGTAGTTGTGGATTGCCATAAGGGTACTAGACTGAAGGCTGTGTAGTGCTTAAACCCAGCCGTGGTCCACTCATCCTGCTACGTGCCTTGTCATGGAGCTTCATTCACTCAGAGGAAGAGGTAGTTTTTGTCTAATTCATTCACTGGTACTAGATGGGCTGGTCAGACCCTGTCTCTCCTCTGATCTTCTCATGGAAGAAAGAGGTGTCTGGCCGCTTTGAGAGAGTCAGTGTGAACTGTAGAGTACTGCTGGGCCTCTCCTTACTCAGAAACAGAAATCCCAGCACAGTTTTCCTGAATTGTACACAAGGAATTCATGACCTAAAGATTTTAATGTTTTTTTTTTCAAAGTCACATGACTAAGAAATGATGGAAGCTAAGTTTGAACTCAAATCTCATTTAATTTTTTCAAAAAGATATTTCTTTGTGGTATAAACATGTACCAATTACAGTAGACAAAGCATTTAAAAATTTTAAAATACTATCATATGCGGATTCCATTCTGATGAACTTGACTGCAAAAAATTACATATATATGTATACACACATATATATACACACACACATATGCACACAAATGCATGGATGGGTTTATGCAGTGTAATTTTCTTTTCATTTACCTAATTCTTCTGTAGCTGATATACATCTATATGGAAGCCTTTTAAAGCCTAGAAGGAAAGAAAAAAAAAGTATATTCTCAGTGAATAGAAGAGGAAACTTTGATAGCAGTTGTCACTTTGACGCTGAATACCAAGTCCCTATTAACCATATGTTGGGGACTTGTGGAAAAGGAGACAAGGAGGAAGAATGTATTCTG